TGAGTGGATTCTGATTCATAGCGACCCTATACGGTAGAGTAGAACTGCCTCATAGTAAATCTTTACAGGAGACTACTTTATCTTTCTCTGTGGAGCAGCTCGTAGGTTCAAACCACCAAAATTTTGGTTAACAGCTGAATGCTTTAACCACTGTACCACCAGAGTTCACTCTCAAGGTGTTAAACTGGCCTCAATTAGCTTAAAGACAAATTATGTAATGAAAGGAGAAGAGTAAGAGGGTAAGGTAGGGAAGGGAAAACTAGACTATTCTTGTGTGACACATTTAAGTGCATACCAGTAAATGATGAGGTGTTAAGAGACTGAGAATGTAAATTAAGTGTTAACAGTACTGAAAGAATTGAAAATCACTTTGGGCCTGGGGAGTTTGGGGTAGCTTCATAAAGGAGTCAAGACTCTTAGGACTCTCAAAAAGTAGTGGAATTTGAAGATGGAGTGCTTGGGAATTCCATATTTGGAAATAAAAGTGAAAGCTAATAGGAGTAAGAATTAACTGGGGTATAGGTGAAGGAGAAAAAGCTGGACTGCAAGATGGGAATGGATTATGATGATCTCCAATGCCAAGGTTTGGGAGCTAAATGCCCTTGGGAAACCTATGTAGTGAAAGAGTGATTTTGGGGAAGCATCTCAGCTTATTAAAGCTTGCTTTGATGCTACCACAACTTCCTACATCCCTCCACCTGGTGTCTCTGGTAATAGGAACTGTGGCCACTGGGACTAATGCCCACATAATATCAGTTCTTCAAGAGAACTGAAATTTTCTGGGGCAATAAGGGGTATAGTGAACAACAATGTACCTTCAAAAATAGCCCTCATGATGGCCATGACACAAATGACTTATAACAGCATGGATTCAAACTCTGTCATCTGGTGCCTTAGGACACCACTGTACCTGATAGGATGATAAAGCAAGTACTGGATGGATTACAACATGTTCTGACCCATAAATCTGTCTTCAAGTAACAAGATCAAGACTGATTTCGCAGGACAAGGGCCAAGACTTCTAAGACTCTTTCCTTCCAAGCTTCTGGTGAACACAGAATCACTATAAGGTGGACTTTCAATAGCTTGATCCACCCATCTGTTTCTTTGGCAGAAACCCATTTTCCCAATACTGTGTCAATGCCACATGTGTCAGGGAGTTACACAGAACGCTATTATAGTTCACATACTTTATGGTTCATGGCTATAGAGCATGTGGACATGGCAAGGGTGCTACAGCCACACAGGGTTTAGAAAAGGGGAGGGCAGCAGGTGATGGCGCCTTGGGGAGGAAGAGGACTTTAATTGTAGGTATTGCATGCAATGATTTTTTTTTTTTTTCTTTCCAAAATCCTGTTGTATTGTGTGCATTTCCTGCCATTCTCACTGTCCTTTTTTTGGACAAGTATGATAGTAAGCACAGGTTTTATGCTTTCTTAAAAAATAAACAGGTGCAATTGTGTACATAGATTAAGACCAAGAAGGGGAGCAGCATCCTGGAAACACTAGCTATGACTTAAGCTTTAGGTTGTCAAATAACTTATTTAAATGGGAACTGTCACGTGTCCAGGGATGCAAAGAGCAATACAGTTAGTAGCCAGATATTTGGAAAAATCTCCTGGATGGTTATGCATTCACTGGTGGACCTGAAGAATGGGTCTGAGCATTTCCCAGCACTGCAGGATAACTGAGTGCTAATTTTGCTTTGGGAGTCCCATGAAGCCTCCTACTGAGGCTAAGGATTGTCTCTGAGAATGATAAAGCACTCTCACTCTTTCTTTATGCTGAGATGACCAAAGAATTCCTGTCAAACTATGTTAAGACAAGGAAAGGAACTAAGAATGGATACTAAGAAAGAGACAACTATCCCTTCTTTCCAAACACAAGCGGCACACTACAACACATTTTGATTTTTTAAATAAAATCCTTATGAATAGATAAGGTTGTTAGTGCTTCAAAAGTATTTCATTTGTGGAGGCTCATTGGAGATCTTGCCTAGGAAATCCCAAGGAACAGTTTAGCATTCATCTCCCTCCAGATTAAACAAACAAAACCCCCCAAAACCACCTAACTCACTGTTATTGAGTTGATTCTGACTCATAGTGACCCCCTTTGGGTTTATGAGGCAGTAAATCTTTGTGGAAATAGATTGCCCAGTCTTCCTTCTGCAGAGTGGCTGGTGGGTTTGAACCACCAACCTTCTAATTAGCAGTCAAATGCCTCAGGCACTATGCCTTCAGAGCTCTTTCCCTTCATGCTAGGGGTGTTTGAATTGCAATACAGGGTATCAACAAAATACTATCAGTAATGGAATCATCCATCCATTCATTCACCTCACTCATCATCTATCCCATCAAACAACAAACTATTTTTTTTTAATGCCCACCATGTGGCAGGTTCCATGCTGGTATGCTTGAGTTACAATGAGTAAATGAATGTCTTTACTACCTACCATGTTTGTCAAGGTGTTGGAAGTGGGAGAGACAGATGAAACAAGACTAGGAAAGCTTTGGTAATTGTTGCAGGTGGGTGATGGTACTTGGGGGTCCATTATACTACTCACTCTCTTCTTTGGTATGATTTTCCCAATAAAGTTATATTATAAACTGTTCACTCTCAAGTAATAGAGCTAGATTGATTGATGGTATTAGTGGGACAGAGTAGGGAAGTGGTCAGGGAATTATCTCCTGGCAGAGGATAATTCTGTTCTCTAGAAACCCTAACTTTGAATTACCCCAAATCTACTGCCACTGAGTCTATTCCCACCCACAATGACTCCACATGGCAGAATAGAATTGCCCCATAGGGTTTCCAAGGCTGCAAATCTTTACGAAAGTAGACTGCCTCATCTTTCTCCTGCAGAGCAGCTGGTGGGTTCGACCAATGGTCTTCTGGTTAGCAGCCAAATGCCTTCATCACTCCACCACCAGAGCACTTCAGATTGAGTTAGGAAGTCAAAAACCACAAAGCAATCAGGAGTGGGTTGGGAAGTGTCATAGATCAGAAGTGAGGAACTAGCTACTACCACATTTCCATCTCCCCCACGTTCCCCTCCCCTTTGCTTAAAGTCAGATATTCAAATTCAACCAACATTTCCAGAGCACCTACTATGTTCTGAGCTCAGTACAAAGGCTTCAGTTAGATTATGGCTGCACCATAATTATAGCGGAGCGAACTCTGAGCAAGTCACTTGACCACCTCGAGGTGACTCAATTTCTCCACCTTTAAAAAGGGTACAGTAAAACCTTTTTAAGGACCAGGGATCCTGACTGTCGCGACCCCAGCAGGAAGAGAAAGCTCCGTAAATGGCAGCCATCATTCTTCTCGATCAAGTGCGGGCGCATCCTCCGGGGCGCGCCTCCCGCAGGGTCCCTCGGGGACAAGCTGGGCCCGCCCCCGTGGCTCCGGCCTGCCGGTGCTCGCGGCAGGTGGCCCAGCATCTTGGTGCCTACGCTTGGTAGCGAGAGGGGAGCGCGGGCGGGTTGGATGACCAAGGTCTTCCCTGGAGGATCAGCCGGCCCTCCCTCCAAGCGCCCGGCGCAGGTGAGGTTTCCGGTCCAGGCCACTGGGCCAGCGACCTTTGGAGAGGTCGAGGCCGAGGGCTGAGACCAAGGCCCGGAGGGGGGTGCTAGGGGCTCCCTTCCCCCGCCCAGGTTCACCCCACGGCCAGCGCCGGCTCCGGGGCCCGTGGGCTGCGCGCTCTGCGGCTGCGAAAACCCGGAGAGGCGGATCGGAGCGCGCTCCCAGCCAACTCCTCCGCGGTCCGGCCGCCGAGCTGGGCATGCTCAGTGCGGCCGCCGCGCCGCCGTCCGCCAACTAGGAAGCTCGCGCTCCCGGGCCTTGGGGGCGAGAACGCCGGCTGCGGCGAGCCAGCGTCGCCCGCCACCCCCAGACAGTGGCAAACTTCGCGGCGTCCCCAGAGCTCGTCAGACAAGACTGATCCCTCACAAATAAAATAAAATCCAAATTCCCAATCCCAACCCGAATTATGGAGGCTACGGCTGCCGGAGTGTCCCCGCCGCCGACCCCTGCCCGCTAGCCAGTGACCAACAGGTAAACTGTTAGGGGGGGTTGGGAGGAGGAACTGCGGCGGTGGGGGGGGGGGCGGCGGGTTGGAGGAGCCCGAGGCGCCCGCGGCCGGCTGTCCCCGCCTCCGCTTACAGCCACCCCTCCAGCCCCTGGAGGGGCAGCAAAGGGTTAAGGCGGCCCCACGCCACCGTGGGCACAGCCCCCTCCAGCCGTCGCTGCCGCCGCGACCGCCAGCAGCGCGCCTCGGCGCCTGCCCGGAGCTGCCGAGTGGGACCTGAGCTGCAGATGCGCCACTGGAGCCCAGCGGGTGTCTAGGAGGCACCAGCCGCGTCCCCGCCGCCCGCATCCCTTTCTCCCCCCATCCTCTCCAGGTCTCCTTCCCTCGACACCGGCCGGGTCCGCGCCCAGGTGGCAGGGGTCTCCTGGGCGCGTAGTGGAGGGGGAAGGGTCCCTGCTAAGGAAGAGGGGCGGGGGCGGGCCGCTCCTTAGCCACCTCTAGGGAAATGAGAGCCATCCTCGCTTTGGGCAAGCACTTGAGCCACCCACCTAGGCGACCAGAAAAGTTTTTTTTCCCCTCCCGTGCCCCTCCCCCACTCAAACCCGGCGCCCAGCTGGGGTGGGTTTGGGTCCATTGGTGAAAAAAGTCACACGTTCCCATCAGCTGCTCCTCCCCCTGGGGACAGGCTGGGGGGTAGTGGCGGGAGGCGGTCGCCGCGGAGGACCTGGGTCGACCTCTGGTCCCTCCGCCTCCAGAGCAGTGTGTTCCGGGGCTCGAGCGCAGCCAGTGTCCGAGGGAGGTTGCTCTCATCAGTGCGTGTCTGCGTGTCGGGCAGCGGCAGCATCCAACCTGCTTTATTCCTGCCTGCAGCGCCACAGCGAGTGAGCGAGCGAGCGAGCGAGCGAGGAGGGGGAGAGAGGGAGTCTGTCTGCAAAGTGCTGCTCCCTGGTGCTCAGAGGCGGCTGCTCCAGCTCCAACTCTCATTCATTTCGCCGGTTAACATGAGAGATCATGGCCGCCTTCGGGCTTCTCAGCTATGAGCAGAGACCGCTGAAGCGCCCCCGGCTCGGGCCGCCGGATGTCTACCCGCAGGACCCCAAGCAGAAGGAGGTGAGGACGCTGGCTGCCTCCTGGGTACCCAGGGCCGCGCTCCGCAGCGCTGACCCGGGGCCAAGTTGGCTCAGCGGGCTTCTTCGGCGCTACGGGGGAGGGGTCAGGGAGGGGAGGTGGAGGCGGAGGCCGGGCTTGGGGGCAGCGGGACCCCCGGCGGCGGAGATCGAGCGGCTGTCAGCCCTCGCGTTCCACTGGGGCGCTTTCTCTCCCTGTGACAGGTCGCTCCCCCGTTACCTGGCCTTGCACGGCACCGCTAGGCTCTTCTCAGGGTCTTTCCTTGCTGGAACCCTCCTCTTCGCTCTCTCCTGCTTCTGCCTGCTTTATTTTCCTCCCCGCTGCTTCAGTAAATCCTCGTAAACTTTTTGAAAAATGTTGGAATGCAGTGCATCCGACACTGAGGTCTTGCGTTTTGCGCCAGCTGAGCAGGAAAGTGGGGGGAGGAGGCGGAGGGAGGATGCTTTTATGTCTCAAAATTTCCAGTTTGGAATGGAAGTCATTTTTATCGAGGTGATAAATATTTAGCTCTCTGAACGGACTTCTGTACTGTATCTCCTCTTCCCTTTAAAAAAATCAATATTAAAGAGAAACACTGATTTTCGTCCCTAGAGGCGATTGGCTTAATTGCTGAAGGTTGTTTTGTGTACGTAAAAGCAGGCGTGTTACCTTGGAAGAGACTAGATCCCAGTTTTGCTTATTTCTTTGAATGGAATGAATTGCAGAAACCTTGACTCTTGCACCAGGTACCACTAGCTTCAATGGTTAGGGTAACCATGGCGTTTTGTAGCCATGCTTGTGTTTGTCAGGAGTTAACAAGTAATTATGTAACAACTCTTCAGTTATAATGATCACCCTTGGCTATGCAATTTGCCCAGGGATTTGCTTTTTTTTTTCCCCTTTTGATCACCTGCTACCCAGCTGTATTTCAGAGTTTGTCAGCTGCAGCCCACCCACTCTGCTTTCTTTAGCTAAATATTAACTGACCACGCATCAAAAACTTACCTTTCTTGGAATCTAAAACTCTATTAAAAAGTTTACAAGCCCACTGAAGTCACATAAAGGGCTTTGTAAATAAAGCCTTACAATTTCACATTTGATAAGTGTGTGTATTTCAGTCAGTAAGAGAGGAATAATGTTTGTTCTGGTTAAATTGTTTTGTTAACATGTCTGAAAAAATAAGGGGCGATAACTTAGAGCTTTAGCAGTTAAATATGTTTGAGCCTCAGTGCAGTCATTCACATGGTAGCTGAGAAGGTTTAATAGGTAGTTCCCAACAGAGGCTTGATATAAAGATAGGTGTGTTTGAAGAGGTTTTGTAGATTTCTTACCCATCCATTTCTCTCCCTACTACTGCTCAGACTTAGAATGAACTTAATTGCTAAGGACCAAGAGTAAACAAAGTTGTTGTTGTTGTTGTTATCAGGTGCCATCGAGTTGTCTCCGATTCAAGCGACCTCATGTACAGCATAATGAAACACTGCCTAGTCCTGTGCCAGTTCTACGATCCTTGCTATACCCGACCCCATCGTTGTAGCCACTGTGTCAGTCCACCTCGTTGAGGGATTTCCCCTTTTTTGTTGGCCCTTCACTTTACCAAGCATATCTTTCTCAAAGTTAGTAACTTAAAAATCATTGGCAGGAAATTCTTAAAGAATTGGTGAGGACAGGGACATTCTTTGGCTGATCTTTATCATTTTGCCACATCTTTCCAGAAGACAACATAATTGAAGGCATCTCTCTTGTTGGATGGGGGCCTGGGAATGCACATGGGTTTATTTAACATTCATTATTTTATTGACACTCATGCAGGATTGAGGCCTCTATAATTGTAGAAAGAGTAAGTTTGGATTTCATAGTCTTACAAGATTTTATAGACTTTTGAAACTGGAAGTGATCTTAGAGTCTACTGTACTTTTTTTTTTTTTTTTTAATAATTTCCTTCCAAAGGGAAACTGAAGCCCAGGAAAGTGTCTTTGACTTAATGAAGGTGTATATTGAATAAGCAGAGGAGTTGGATCACCAAACCAGTATTTATGTTAGGACCAATACTAAGTTGAGAATGACTTATGCTAAATTACGTTGCTTTGATGTAATTCCTTTTCCCCCTAAGGCAAAGAACTATTTTTTCTCTCTTTTGAGCAGAATTATGTGTGGTAGTAGCCAAATTTGGGTACAGTCTGGAACAGGTGCTTGGCTGTGTTGGTGGTGGTTGGTGAGCAGATTGTTTCTCCAGCTTCACTTACTTATGCACCTCCCTTAAGGTCCTACCCCTGTACCACCTGTACTCCTATTCTAACGTGTTCTTTAACTTTTTTACCCCCCTCATGTCAATTATGGTTTTCCATTGAATTTTCAGGTTTTTTTTTTTTTTTTAACTTTTTGTTGTGACTTGGGTGAACGTTTACAGGCAGATTCGTTTTCCATTCAACAATTCACACACATTTAGTTTCATGACATTGATTGCAGTCCCTACAATGTAACAGCACTTTTCCCAATCCCTCCTTGTGTTCATAGTTTCCGTTCTTCTTTCCTATCCCTTCCTGCCTCTGTGCTTTATCCCTGGGCAAAAGCTGCCCTTCTGATTTCCTATAGTTCTAAGGAGCATGTGCCTCGCTGGTGTTATTGTTCATCTTATAGTTCTATCATTTGATAGACAGTTTTAAAATAACTTTTAAAAAGCTTTTTCATAGTAGTGCTAACACATGAAAACATGGATTTGATATGAACTCTATCTATCTGTCTTCCTGAGTGGCACAGATGGTTAAGCAATAGACTACTAGCCAAAACACTGCAATTCTGAACCCATCCAGAGGTGCCTCAGAAGACAGGCCTGGCAATCTGTTTCTGAAAGGTCACAGCCTTGAAAATGCTATGGAACAGTTTACTCTGCACACATGGGGTTGCTGTGAGTTGAAATTGATTTGAGGGCAACCAACAACAGCAATAATACACAAATAAGAAACAATATTAAAAAATCCTTTAGCCTAGAAATTAGGAATTTGGCCATTCTTGCTTCTCAGGAGCATAATGAATGTCTATAGCTTTTTTTTTTTTTTTTTTTACCACTTTAAGTTGTGCCGCATCAGCAAATGAAGATCCCAAAGGTTTTACTCCATCCATGTCATTAAGGTCAGCTCTACTTTGAGGAGGCAGCTCTTCCCCAGTTCTATTTTCAGTGTCTTCTAACCTGTAGGGCTCATCTTCCAGCACTATATCAGACAGTGATTCACTGCTATTCATAAGATTTTCCAGCAAGAATGACCAGACTTCTCACCTACTTTGGTCATGTTGTTATAGAGAAGGATATCATGTTTAGTAAAGTAGTGGGTCAGTGAAAATGAGGAAGCCCCTCAATGAGATGGTTTGACACAGTGGCTGCACTGATGGGCATAACAAGCACATAGCAAGGATTGGGAGGATGGTGCAGGTTCAGGCAGTGTTTGGCTCTCTGTATGTGGGGTCCTTGTAAGTTGACAGCTACTTAGTGGCATCTCACAGGATTAGGAGGGTAGGTTCTGGAGCCAGTCTGCCTGTGTTTGAAACCTGGTTCTGCTGTTTACATACTCTATTCTTTCCATGCCTTGATTTCCTCCCTTGTAGAATGGTATGATCTTACCACCTACCCCACAGTGTTGTGTGTGTAAAACACTTAGACTAGAGTGGCATGGATTTAGCACCCAGATATTTGCTGTTATGAGCTGTTGTCAGGCCTGGCTTTTCTTCGTCATTCATGTCTCAGCTGAACCAGCTTCTCAGAGAGGGCCAGTCAGGTATAAATGTATAATTTATTTCTACTTCCCCTCCCTCCCTTTCCTCCTACACCCCCACTCTCACCTCCTGTAACAGGTCAGTTTCATGAGAGCAGGGATGAAGTCTCTTCTAGTCATTGCTCAAGTACTTGGCACCAATTAGTTCCTGGAGTGCTGAGGGCACAAATGTTTTTACGAATGTATGAATGAAAGTGGAAATAGACAACTAAAGAATAGGAAATCTGTCTTCTGTAACTGAGGGATCTTAGGAAAAGCCTCAGTTAAGGCATATAGGATCCTTAATGCTGTCATTTGCCTTGGAGGCTTCAAGTCTGATATTAAATTCTAGAAATCTAAAGGAAGAGGAGTTTTACCCTGGGCTAGAAGAGACCTAAACAAGGAAATAATAAATGTCTAGTCTATTTCAACTTATAATAGCCCCTTGTAACAGACTAGAACTGCCGCATAGGGTTTTTTCTTGACTGTAATCTTTACAGAAGCAGATCACTAGTTATTTCTCCCACAGAGCCTCTGGGTCAAACTATGAACCTTTCAGTTAGCACCTGAACACTTAACCAGTTGCACCACCAAACATGTTACCATTGAGTAGATTCTGACTAATAGTGATCCTACAGGACAGAGTAGAACTGCCCCATAGGGTTTCCAAGGCTGTAAAGCTTTATAGAAGCAGACTGCCACATCTTTCTCCTATAGAGCCTTGGGTGCATTCAAACTGTAGACCTTTTGGTTGGCAGATGAGCACTTAACCACTGCACCACCAGGACTCCTTAAATAGTGAATACCTTCAGGAAATCAAATTAGTTAGAAAAATGTGTTGGGGCAATGGTGGAATTTCTAGGCATCAGGAGCCTTGGAGTCCCCTCGAGAGGGTCTGGGGGTGGGGAGAGGATGGTCTGGTATGTGGTGCAGAATAATTTGGGAGATGTGTGTGCAGGGGTGTCTACATCTAGGTAACCCAGACCAGTAGTTCTCATATTTAGAGCACATCTGGATCACCTGAAAGGCTTGTTAAAATGCATTGCCAGGCCCCTCAGATTCAGTAGGTCTGAGGTGGGGCCCCAGAATTTACATTTCTAACAAGATGCAAGGTGATCTGATGATGTTGGTCTAGGACACCATTTTGAGAATCCTGATGGAGGAATTGAAGGCATTCAGTTTTGTAGAGGCTAGAGAATCCGCCTGACCCAGATAGGTCTGAATTAGACTTTTCCATCTGGCTGAAGTTGCAGT